GTTTCAGCCATTTCCAAACTGGTTTATGTGAACTGAGCATCTGTTCTGTTACAGGTTTAAACCAGTTTCTGATCACTTAAACTGGTTTATGTGTAATATCTGTCCCTAGCTCCAATAGCTCGGCACTGGTATTGCAGTACCTTCAGGCCTGGTGCCAGTTTCCTCCTGGAGGAGCCACTGCCTATTTTTTGAAGGGACACACACACACACACACACACACACACACACACACACACACACACACACACACACACACACACACACACACACACACACACAGAGTTACCGTGAGTATATTTGCCTCATGTGGGCCATGTATTTTATAGTCTTGCTCAGTGTTGGCTGCATCTAATCAACTTTATTTCCATTAGGATTCCATTACTGAGCACATGCTGCCGTTAGCATCAATTTAATGATAGACAATGTACTTAATGAGGTTTCCTTGTATGCTAATATAAGATGAGGGTTTTTACCCCCAATGTTGACTGCGGTGGGGGAAACCTCATCTTATATCTGAGTAAATACCATATATCCTTTCATTTGCACTGCTAATGTAAAACTATATATCTAACCAAAACACAAGTACTTACCTTTTTTGTTTAATTTTCACTATAGCGTCATTGTTTTGATGGAAAAGTCACTGCACATGTTGAAAATTAACATTAAACTGCTGTAAAATCTAAGCACCTGTTTTGTTCTGTACAGATCTTGATGGGAATGGCTTCATCCAAGCTAACAAGTTAACAGAACTGTTTAAAGCAGCTAATCTCCCCCTGCCAGGATATAAAGTGAGAGAAATCCTTCAGGAGAAGCTTGCAGCAGACCAAGATGTCAAGATTACTTTTGATGAATTTATTTCAGTAGGTACAATGTTATGAATACAATGTTATCTCACAGACTGTCCTATAAAAAGAAATGGGAAAAAACCCTTAAGCCTCACCTTCAAAATGACAACTGATCAGGGATTATCTGTCAAAATGACTGACAAAATACACCATCTCCACAAAATTGGCATTTTCTATGGTAAAGTTATGATTTTATTGATTTATTTTCAGGGATCCTGGTTTTCTGTTAAAAAAAAATGCCCAATTTTAGTTTTTAAAAAAGTAACCCAAAATCCACATTTTCTACGATTAAAATGAAACACCACTAATATGTATATAAATATTAGTGGTGTTTCATTTTAATCATGGAAAATGTGGATTTTGGGTTGTTTTTTTAAACCAAAAATTGGTGTTTGGTTTTGTGTTTTTTTAAATCAGAGAAAACCAGGATCCCTGTTGATTATTATTCCATCAGGGAAATTGAAATAAAATATTTAATTCTGGGTCTGCTTGACCCAAATCAAAACAGTTTGATTTGGTGACTGGAACCAAAAGCGCACATTCAGAATTGCTTTAACATTAACCTGCATCAGCATAAAGGTGCCGTGGTGCTTTCTGAGAGTTGTAGTTGAAATATACCCTGCTGCCATTCCATCCTATGCTCCTGGTTTTTGGCCAGATAACATCTCTCAAGTTGCAGCACGGTCTTTATATCATCATTTGAAGACTGCAGTGCATCATGGTAACTGTAGCTTTACAAGGGAGCCCACATCATCAGGAAGGATGAGAATATGAGGCAAGCAAACTACAACTATCACAGTGCAGCATGACAAGTTATTTAGCTGCAGCTGAACGTTGACTTAAAAGGCTTTGACTTGGTTCAGCACATAGAAATGAAATGTCTTGATTCAGAAATGTCAAAATGTGCTTCTTTGGTTGAAAGTTCATTTCAACGTTTCAGCTTTTGCAGGTTGAACATGTTATTTGAAGAAATTATTTGGCCGGAAACAAATGTCAAAGTATCAGAATTTTCCTCAGGAAGGAAACCCAGATTTTCACTCACCTCTGTGAAAAACCTAAATTATTTAAGTCTCATCTCCAAATTACAAAGCCTGTATTGTCCTAATACTATTTAGCTTTTTTTCTTTGATGCTTTGAAAACAAAAAAAGCTTTCCCACTTTTGCAAGATCAGCCATAAAAGTAAATTCTTGCCTCTGTGCAAAATCCCACTGGAGCAATTATTAAAAGTAATCCAGATTATTTATTCGCTTTGCTCACCTCTGTTCAAAACATAGAAAAAAACATGTTCCCTGTCTCAAGGAATTTATCACCTGAAAGCTTACCATTTTACAGGTCTCATTGTCTTATTATAAGCTTCACATTCTAAAATAAACTTGTGTATTCAAAGATTGTCCATGGCCTGAAGAGTTCAGATGTTGCTAAAACATTCAGAAAAGCAATCAATAAAAAGGAGGGGATTTGTGCTATTGGTGGAACTTCAGAACAGTCCAGTGTTGGAACACAACATTCTTACTCAGGTATTTACAGTCAGGTCATATTGATAGTACTTAAAACTTGATGGTCTCTTGGAAATCATTTCATAATTTACTTGGGTAAAAAACTGCAGCTTCAGTTATATAGAACTGCAGTAACAATGTGGGTGACTTGGATTATACGTACATAACGGAGTATGTAATAAAGCTGAGGACACGTAAGAGCAGCATCTTGGCGGAATGCTGTGTCTCCTGTTTTAAATAATCATTCAGCTCTAATAAGGATAGGATCAATGTGGGGCAAGTGCTAGATACATTTTGATAAGCATTGAAATTGTCATGTCAAGAGAAAGTCTTGATTTTGAAGGTGGCGGATGTTTCTGTGTCTGTTAAAACTGCTTCAGGCTCCAGGATAGAAGTTTTGAAGGCACTGAAGTGATTTAGGAATGAAAATTGTATCTTCTTATCTTGGAGATCTTCCTATCTTGGAGATCTCAGAACAACAGCAGAGTCTCCCAATGCCTGAAGAAGGGTGCTTGTGCCCAAAAGCTTGCAAAGAACCTTTTCCCAGCTACTCAGTTGGTCTAATAAAAAATGTCACATCTACCCAAAGAACCTTGCCTGCCTATGTCCTTAGACCAACATGTCTACAACCAATAACCCTGCATCTTCAGGACCAGGATTTAGGTTTTGGCTCTTTTGTGTTTGTGATATCTTTGAAAATGGGTCTTATAGCTAGATACAAAATATTCTTTTAATCATCAAATCAGTTTATATACCAAAAGATACAGAAATGTGACACCTTTACTTTGGAGCATTCTCCAACTACTCCAGAAGAAAAGTGGAGTGGATACACAACACAGAGCATTTGCTCAAGAGGAAGTCAGAAGTACATTTACACCAGAGATAGTTATACTAGTGTTTGCTACCATTGCCTACCTTTACTCCAGAGTAGCCAACATTGCGACAACATAGTTCCTGAGCAAATGCTCTAAACATAATGTGTCCTCCCTTTCCTGTCCCCTCCTCCCCAGGTCATACAGTGAATGGGGGTGCTGTGGATTAAACTGAGCTCAAAACTGCTGCCAGTGTGTTTGGTGGATTTTACTGGACATCTCTCTGAGTGCTCTAGATCCTGATATATGGAGGCACTTAATATGCAGCCCTGGTGGACTCCTAAGCTTCCAAGAGGACTGGGAGTTCAGACAGTCCTCCAGGCCTAGCATTTCTTATTGACTTACTGTGGGTTACACTGATGTCATTGTCGTCAGTGGTAGGAGAATTTCTTTGCAAATATTCTAATATTTTTACTATTTCTTTGTTTGTTTGCAACTTTCATAGGACCAGGTGATTCCTGGTTCCTTTGCTTTTGGTTTACGTGGAAGAGAGAATGAAGGAGTCTTCTGCTAAGTTATCTCACTTAAGCAGGAAGGACTGTCACTGCCAGGGGGTTGCAACTGCCACTCCTAGGGTCTTCTGGGCTAGGGACAGACATTCAAAAAGCCTGAATTGATTCAATCTTCACGGGTTAGTCTAACCTGCAAAGCTTGAACCGATTTGGAGGTGGATAGAAATTCCCTTTTTATTCCAGTAATGCAGGCACATGCCTTCAGTGGCTCAGGCTAGAAGCTTGGCGGGACAAGCAGCCCTCCCTTCCCTTCCACAAGGCTGAGCTGAGAGGGGCATGGCCAGGCCCTGGCAGGACACTCTGATGCCCCCCCACCCCTCCTGAGCAGCCCAGCAGGGAATGTTTATCACGCCTAACTCAGTGTTTATCAACCCATTAAGAAAACAAAGCCTTTCTCCATTAGTTTACTTCCTAAACAGCTTTTCCAAAGAAGAACTTTACCAGCTCCCTGTTGATTAGCTCCAAAACACCTGTCTGCCTTTGTTGTAGTCATCATGTGGTCTGCTAGCTAATGCTGAAAGGTGTAAGGCAGAGAGGTGGGAGCAATAATCCCTGCTTATCAGGGAGAAGCCAGGCAGACACCTTCAGTCTCTGCTGGAGCTCCAGAGAGGGAGCAGAGGGGAGGGGCCAGCCCTGCTGTGGAGCAGAGAGCCCCGCCAGCCCAAAGAGCATGTTGGGATGCTGGGGGAGTCTGGTTTATCTTAAACCAGCAAGGGGTCTGGGACAGACATTGCATAAACCAGTTCGAGCCAAATTAATTAAGTTGGATACTGCATTCAACCAGGTTTATCTCAAACTGGTTTCAGCCATTTTCAAACTGGTTTATGTGCACTGAACATTTGTTCTGTTACAGGTTTAAACCAGTTTCTGGTCACCTAAATTGGTTTGTGTGTAATGTCTGTCCTTAGCCCTGGCACATAAACTTCCCCAGACCCACTGCCAGGCAGGCCTACTTATGGTTCCATGAACCAGTGGAGAAGGCCAGCTGAAAAGATGGAAGATTACTCTCTGAAGTGTAGTAGACAGTTCCCCCCTTGGTTTGGCAAAGAGCCTGGAGGTAAAACCTCCTCCAGAGTTACTTTGGGGTTTGGTAGATCCATTCTACATCATCTACAGGATGGCCACTTTTTAGTTCTGATTAAATATATGAAACATTATCTTTCCCATACTTTAGCCTTTATTTCTAAAATAAGCATAGACATTTTAAGTTGAAAACTCATCAAACTTATGTACTTTTACTTACCATTATATTTGCAGAAGAAGAAAAGTATGCCTTTGTCAACTGGATTAATAAAGCCCTTGAGAATGATCCTGACTGCAAGCATGTTCTCCCAATGAATCCGGAAACCGATGACCTCTTTCAGGCAGTTGGTGATGGCATCGTGCTGTGGTAAATAA